ATCGGGATAAGTCGGCATGTTGTCGTAGCTTCGTAATTTTCATTTAGTATAACAAGTCATGAGTTGTCCATCATTCCATCTCAGTCCCTCTCGACCAAGGTGGTTTTGGTGGATGGAATCTAATGCTGACCTAGTTGTTCACTTAGTTTACAAAAACGATAAGCACCACTTCTTCGCAAGTATTGAAGCAAGCACTGATTTGGAGGTTATGACTGTTGAGGTAGGGTTATGAAATCTCTACTCGTAGTATGCACATAGAATCTAGCCACTAGTTATGTTATACCTTTGTGTAGCAAACTCTTGAACTTTGTGTACCTGGCACACGCGGTTACATAAGCTGATAATTGAAAGCCGAAACACATAAAAATGTACGAATATTGTGTGCTTGTACATTAGTTTTAAACCAAAAAAATTTTCGTATTTTTCACAAATCTAGCCTTCTACGGCTCAATGAACGTCAAACTAAATATTATGCATTTGCTGTTGCTCAGTAAATGCGTAATTTGACAGCACTATCTCAAGCACGGTCTACGAAAATGCTAAATTTCGGTTATCATTCACTGTTTCCATCAGTGAACCTTAAAACCCCCAAAGTGCGACTGGCTTCTCCTTTCTCCTTACAGTATCACCCTTGGATCAAATGTAAAAGTCAAGACAATAGTGGAAATTAACTCCAATTTAAGAGGCTCCTGATTGTCAAACAAATTCTCCTTGTCCGTACTATAAGAAATGGGATCCAAGGGGATGCAAAGAAGACAGGGTACAGAATATGACTGACAATGTAAGAGTGTAAAGGGTTAACCACTTGACCAGCTCAAACTAAGCAAGGGATCAGTAACCACTCAACCAGAATTCAATGTATAAAGCCCATCTTTTATTTTAAAACAACAAGGTTAATGACATGTTATGGTCTCTCTTTCTTTTGTATTAATGGTTGCATATTTAAAGCGAAAAGTTGCCTTGCAAACAGAGTACAATTTAGCGGACATCAGGTAAAAATCTTGAATTTAAAGAATGACATTAAACATCATCATCAGTGAAAAAATCTTAATTTACAACTGTTGCTTTGAAATCAAACTAAACAAATTATGCAATGACATTCGGTATTTTAGAGAGGTGATGATAAATTAATTCCCTACAAATGAGATATGAAAACAATGAATGGACCCTTTAAGTGATTCACATAAGACTTCTCCCTACAATATTCATACATTATTCAGCAAACAGATAATGAGAACATTTAATCTTATCAGTTAGAAGCCACTATCTTGATCTAGCAGCAAGTTCTCATAACTAATTAACGAGGAAATGAGTAGCAGCTACAGGGGAGAATTAACTATTAGATCTTGGGATTTAAAGGGTTAAGACTCTTGATTTCAGTTCATTAAATGTTGTAGCCAAAATGTGAGGGTCAGCAAGTCGCAGTACGACTCGTTCTCTCACATTTGTGTTGTATAACTAGCTAAGGTCTATAAAAAGTTTCCTTTTTTCAAGTTTACTTTAGAGAAAAATAGCTAAAAAATGTTTTAATGGAAATACATAGATATAGATGGTCACTTGCAATAAAACCTAAGATAGATTTTCCTACTTATTAGTTTTACTTTTCTTTTTTTCTTTAGCTCTTAGCCTTCTCATTTGACGTCTACTTATTTTGTTCATCTCAATGTCATCTTCTTTGGCTTTCATTTTTTTTTGCATTTAAGTTTGACTTGTTGTTGTCTTCTGGTTTTCTCTTTCTTTTCCTCTTTTTGTCATCTGTGTCTTTTGATTTTTCTTTTGTTGCTTTTTTGTCCAGTTCTTTTATTCTCTTCTTCATCTTCTTAACTTTCTTTCCAATGCTCTTGTTACTATCATCTGCTAAATTGAATTTTTAAAGTATTGTTAAACTAATATGTAATGTTATTTACTTGTATTTCTTCAATCAAGTCCTGGCTATTGACCACACTATTTTTGTGGTCACCCTGATTATAGAAGTTTGAAAAACTGATGACCTGAACTTCCAAATGATGAGGACATTCTTTAATGTATACCAAAGTCAAATAATATTCCAATATTGGGAAAAAATCATCTTCTTGTAACTTTAATCTTTACACCATCTTTTGGTCCTTTTCTCATCCGATTTTCTCGCAAATTGCGTATTTCTGCGGCCTGTGTCAGAAACATATTTGTTTTCCATTCATTAAATCTTAAGAGCTACTTGTATCTTGAAAAAGACAATATAATGATAGAAAATGTATACCTTTGAAATATTTTATCTATTTCTTCTTATAATTATGTTTTTCCAGATCTCATTGAGCATGTTTGCTGGCTGTGAGAGTTGAAATGTATGTATAACCCCAATTAAGTAAGCTGCAAAAGGGTTTGCATTATATGAAAGAGCATTTTAAAACAACACAAATACAGTCTTAATTATTTCAGATATGAAGCACTTACCATATCATTTTTGGGCAGGCTTAATTCTCTGTCTTTTCTTTCTGTAGGTTGAAATGTTGGCCTTGCTGCACCTTGTTGTTGGTTACTCTGTTGTTAAGTAAGAACATTGTTAATTAAGATGTAGCTGATACCAAATTTAAGCCTCTAACTTTAAGTGTTATTGACAGAAATATTTGTTTGCAGCTGGTTCTAAAAAGAAATAAATTTTTTCATCATTTGGAAGAATGCAAATGTGTTCATTGATATGCTGGGATTCGTATCATTTTATTTGATTGCATTTGTAATGGTTGATGCAATCAAATTCTAAATTACCATTCAATCCTTTTTCCCTTCTTGCTAACTAGTTTGGTGCATATAATTATCAAAAAACATTTAACCTGTTGCCCACTAGCCAATCAATCTATAACTTGCATGTATGAAAATAAAGGCTGTATCAACCACTGTGATAATGAAGGTTAAGGCAGAGGAAGGCTAAAGAAATCTCCTTGTTTTAAGGTAAAAATCTGTTGAAATAACCATACTTTAGAAGCATCTGCTTCCTGAGCTGCATGGAACACCTCATCTTGTTCTCTCTGTAAAGCTCGTGATTCCAAAATCTTCCTCCTAGCAGTAATCAAATATGTTTAGAGACAATTGACACATTATAGGGTAAAACAAGATAATCTTAAATAAATGCAAATTGGACACTGTAAAGAGTTTCTACGCTTGCCTTTTGAGTGTTTGCCCTTCATCAGAGTGACAGGTATAGTTGATTTCAGGACTTAACAGTTTTTTCTGCGATGCAAGCTTGGTTTAATTTATTTGATTACAACTTGATCCAAGTTATGGCCATTTTTAGGCAAAATGAACATTTCTTTCAGCCTGACAATTATGCAAGCCTGGGCTATTAAAATATGTCCAGTAAGTTGCTCAGTACTGTTGACAACAATTTTTTGAGCACTATTTTGATTACATGAGGTCTTTAATCAATTTTTTCCATGTATCAGACAAAATTATACCATATTGTAATATCATGGTGCACATAAAATTAAAGCTTTGTCCAACAAGAAAGGGACTCCAGAAAGATCTCTTACCAGTTGGCATGTGCAATTTCCACGGCTTCTGCTGCCCTTTGCACTGCCTCACTTATTTGGGAAAAGTAAAAAAAGCTCCCTGTAAAAATAACAAAAAAAGTTAATTATAATAGCTTTAGCTTTGATTTTCTTGTTTTGTATGCACTATGAGGAAATACCCGTACTTTTGCATCAAGAGAGTTCCTACAGTAACCTTCAAATTTTCAGTTAATGGCTGAGGCTTTTCCAGAATAGAAGTTATCTTAGAGTAAAGCAAAACTCAATTGAATTTTTTACCTGCATATCTCTCCACAGGTGTGGGTTGGCTTGACCCCCCCATGGATGGTGTACACAGAATAATCTGAGGTACACCAAGAGTTTGGCCACTGAGTGCCTGCATGGCTAGAAACAGAAAAAAAAATCATTTAATTTCCTCCTAATGGTAAGACTAGCTTGGGATCTACACAATTTATGTAAAAGCTTAATATCATTTTTGGTGTTTGGTTACTGCATTTCCTTGAATAAGTGCCCATGCCCTAATAAATGCCCCCTCCTCTGAATAAAAAGCCACCCCCTGGGCCTAAATGTCAAATAAGTCCCCCCCCCCTCTCAATTTCTTAAATTAGCAGGGATACAGGGAAAACCTGTTTTTAAGGCCTATTTATTTAACCTTCAACTTCAGCAGAATCAGTAAAGAAAAGTACTTCCTTTTCCTTTACTCACTTCTATTTATTTCCATCATCATGTGCTTACGGAGTTCTTTTCTGTGCATTATCTGTTCTTTTCATTTTTGTCCTATTTCCCTGCCCTTGGTAAATACTCTAGCCTTCCCAGGCTCAACTACACTATTCTCTATTCTACAGAGACCTGTAATTTCATTGATTATAAAGTTATTGGGATGCATTTGAAGAAAACAGTTGATAAATAATGACAGCTCAGTTAATACTGACTTAACATCTACATGAATAACAGTATAGCATTTTATTTTCTGTTTAAGATTTAGTTGAAATAAAGATACAGTTTGTTGAAAGGAAAACTTATCTCAATTAAGCACCTTCCTTCAAATAAGCACCTCCCCTTTTAGCTGATAGTTTTAAATAAGCACCCGGGCACTTGTTCAGGGAAATAATGTAGTTCATTAGTGGCCCTATATCATGTATGTACCTTCTTTTCCATCCATGGAATCAATGCAAGATATCCAGAAGAGGCAATCCTCGGGAAAATCTCCATTTATGACGGCATTATTCAGGTCACTGTATAACCAAAAAATAAGAAATTTGAAATGCTTAAGGAATACATAGAGTGGGAGATGTGGTAACTGAACAGTATGTATGGGTATGGATACATATGTAGAAAATAGAGATATTGAAAAACATTCCCGATACTTATTAAAATGATAATCATAGCTACCTCAACATGTCTCTCTCTGCAGAAGAAAGAGTCTGTAAAGCCTTTAAAATCACAATCACCGCCATCTGAAGGCCTCTTTTAATGTGATATACGCCATATACAACCACCTAAAACTATGGCGTAACATACCGTTCAAAATTCAGTCAAGGTATTTTCCCTATCGAAAAATTAAATACAGACAATTTGGTTGACAAATGTAAATACACACGGGAAATGTTGTATTGTTTTTTGGGTTCCCAGTAGTAGCGAAAACTAATACCCCTGAAATTAAGTCACTGTCTGCGACATTTGCCCATCCAATGGCTCACATGAACCATTGGAAAAATACAAAGAAGGAAAAACACAAAGAAAATTGTTTACACAGGAGCAGCACCGAGAACCTCAAGGCTTTTCGAGTAATACATAGACTACGTTTTCAAGGTCAGTGTTTTCGAGGTCTGCTTTTTTCAACGTCTGACAGAGGTCAACGGGACACCAAGCAGGTAGTGGGAAATCTGATTAGTTTGTGTAATATAACATCAGGGGTAACGTGTTTCAGGGAAATCCGAGCGACCCTAACCATCTGAAATTGCTTCAAATCGGGCAGCGGAGCGAGCGTACAACAAAGAAAACAAAACAGTTTTATAATAAGTTGATATTATTCAGAGAAAAAAAAGGAAATTGACTGAGAACAGGATACCACGAAAAGAACAGTGACATTTGAAACGATGTGTGATAAACAGAACTTGCAAATCTCGCGAGGTGCATGTACAAGCAGTATCCTTACGAGTCCCAAACGCGAAATAGATCGAGTCAATCAGCTATCGGAACTTACGACATGCTGGCATAAATTTGTTCCCTTTTTAGTTCTCGGCTTACCCTGGGTGCCTCGGGTAGTCTTTATTTTGACGCGCGCGAAAAGCCTCTGGAAAGGAGCGCTGTTCCTTTAATAGAAGGCAGCTTCTGACCAGTCAATGTCTCGAGAGGGTCGCAGGCTCAAGTATTTTCAAAAATCATTTATTGTAGGTGGTTTTAAGTTGTTTTAGGTAGCTGTAGGTGGTTTTAGGTGGTTGTAAGTGGTTCTAGGTGGTTGTAGGTCATTCCATGTTTTAGTACTTACGTTTCTGGAGACTGTGTCCGGCCGCCGGGCAGTTAGTCCGTTTTCAACTTGTTTTCTGTCCCCAGAGTTTTAAAATTTATTTTGAAACTGCATTTCAAAACTTTCAAAACAAGTTCCCTTTCACTCAGCGTGGTGAAGAGAGGGTACTCGGGAAATTTTGTGATCCTCTCGTTTCAAATTACGACATCTGTCTTATTATACAGGAACATCGTCTAGTCGATTTTTTTTGTATATTTAGAAATCTCTCAAAACTTATTCGCTCGTGCAAAAGATATGGCTTGCAAATAGTAAGGAACGGCAATATTAGCGGTGTCTTGGTGAATTCCTGTATAATGAGACAAAGTTGCAAAGTAAGCTACACAAAGTTGCAGCTTCCTCAAATTGTTATCGCACAGCCAGTTGCAAACGTAAAATTTTTCACACCAAATTGTCAGTACGATTCCATCCATATAGATTGTAATTAAAAGGCCGATAACAGCGCTGTGTTGACATTTTATATATGTATCGTTTAGCTAAAAACTTTGATTGAGTGGGCTAGATCACAGGAGATGTTATGCTAAAACGTAGACTGCAGACTACAGACTGCAAACTGTGCAGACCGCGAAGACCCAGACATTTGTACAGACATTTGTTCATTGCGTTGAACATGCTAATGATGGCTATGTATTTTGTAGGTCTCAAGTGATGGCAGCAAAAAGCGGTCACATGAAAATCTCTGGTGATAAAGATAAAAAAGTCAGTTTTGTATCTTCACTTTTTTTTCGTTGGATGAACGAAGTCCTTAAAAAGGGCAGTCAAAGACCTTTGGATCAAAATGACTTTTTACCCTTGTCAGACGAGAACTCTGGCCGTTTTGTCACCGACAAGCTTAAAAAAATCTGGGAGAGCGAGAGACATCATTGCAAGATGAATGGGAAAAGGCCCAAACTTTGGAAAAGCGTGTTTTATATGCTATCTGCCAAAGATGTTATCATCATTTTGATGGGGAATATATTGTGTACAACTTCTCGCCTTCTCTTTCCACTGTTTCTCTGGTATCTTGTTTCTAAGCTTATGTCAACTGAGGCAGAGAATACTTATCGGCTCTACGCCTGCGCATTAGCTATGTGTCTCAATGGTTTGATCGGTGGTCTTGGTATGCACCAGGATAGCTACAGATGTGAAATATTGGGAATCAAAATAGGAAGCGCCCTGAGGGGACTGGTGTACCAAAAGGTAGGCACGATCCTAAAGAGTATTCTATGCACTTGTGATAGGCTCATATAATACCCTAAACACCCCAAACTAAGCCGAAAAAACACCTTTATCTATCCGATCCAGAAATAATTTTTCCAGAAATCTGATCGATTGTAATCAGCTTATGTCATATGGAGACCCTGAAGGAGAGGGTGGTTGAACATGATTGCCGGTGCTTCTGCGAGAGTAAGCAATCCCGCTTACCAAAGAAAGAATCGAAGAAACAAACAGTTATGTAGCCTGCAGTTAACGGGGAAGTAGGCTACAGAAACATAACAAATAAGGCCACGCTTCTTAGCGAGATTCAAAATGGCGCCTTAGTTGTGGCTTTTTTTCACATTTAAAGATAATTTGGTGAAGGTTTGTTTACTCTCGTCTCGAAACGTAGGAACGGATGTCTTTATGCCGTAGATTAAAATCATATGGTTTATGGAACATACTTCTTTAATGTCTAATCTGTACTCTCTTTCAGACGCTTCTTCTCAACAAGCAGACGTTACTGAAATTCACTGCAGGACGCTTATTTGACTTGATATCCAATGATGTTAAAAGAATGGAAGAAGAGACAGTCAGGTTTTTTGTCTCAGCCGTTTTCGCAGTCCCTGCTTATGTAGGGGCAATATTCCTCATCTACAATTTGATTGGCTGGCAGGCTGTTATGGGTGTGTTCCTTCTGTGTACTCTTATGCCATACTTTGCCGTCTTGTCCTATGTTAATGCTAAGCTGCGCTTGCGCACAGCTACAGTGTCCGATCAGCGAATCTCCTTAATGAATCAAGTAGTTTCCGGGATCCGCGCGGTCAAAACGCATGCGTGGGAGGACGAATATAGACGAAAGATTAAACATGTAAGAAGGTAAGGTAAATTGTCAGTTTTCATCAGAAGTAGGCTAAAACAACTACCTTTATTCATCCCCTTAATTATTGACCTAAACTATTCAAAATCCACAAATATGTTTTGTCTCCACTGAGAGCTTTATTAGCTAAGTAGTTTCATGTAACCCATTTCATAACCGGAGGACTGGCCGGTCAGTTAATAAATATCAGTATCTACTGAGTAAAAAGTGTTGAAAGTGCACTCTGATTGGCTACTCAAACTCCGAATATCCTTTGCGATTCATCTTCGAGCGACCTGTTCGGGATTTGCACCCGAAAATATTGTAATCGTTTTTACTTCAGTGTCGGTGAAAAAGGGTGGTTATCACCTCCACTTCGGAGCATAACCGTTCATTGTCATAGGTAGAACATCTCATTGAGTCTAAATGAGTTCAGTTGGTATTATTTTTCATACGCTGTCGTGGGTTCGCAAAAGACGTACCTTCACAAAGAAGTGAACGATGAGGAAGGGTGCGCTTGCTGCCCGCTCACCTCCTTTATATTTCAAATTAGAGAGAACACAGAGGACGAATTGGTTCGACAGAATGCCCACATAACTAATGAACGACTTTTATCTACAGAAATGAAATCAGCGTCATTTCGAAGAGGACAGCCATTCAGTCAAGGATTGATGCCTTGTTATACAGTGCAACGCCACTGGCCACTCTGGTGTCAGTAATTATTATGGTACTTACAGGCCAGACCCTCACGCCCGCCAATGTTTTCATGCTGCTGTCGTTTATGGGTGTTATAAAATTTTGTGGTATGGTGAATATGACATCAGGTTTAATGGGAACGTATGACGCCTACGTTTCGCTCGGAAGAATCGAAGAATTCCTTCTTCTAGAAAATCTGTTGCAAGCCTCGGAGAGTGATGTAAGCAACGAGCCTCAACAAAAAGCGGAAAGTACCGCAACTTACTTAAGTCGCAGTTACTTGAAAAAAGAAGAGGAAAATACGGAGAAAGTTTCCCTCTCTCGTGAATCAAGAGAATTAGGGCCTACTATATTATGTGTGTCAAATTTAAGCTACGCAAAAACGCATCATGAAGAGGAATTTATTCTTGAGGATATCAACTTCTTTGCACCTTCAAAGAGTTTAACAGTCATCACCGGACCGGTTGGAAGTGGTAAGTCTACTCTGCTCTCAGCGATCGCTGGTGAAATTTGGAACACCATTGGGACGATTGATTATCAAGGTTCTGTCATTTACTTGCCTCAGACTGCTTGGGTGTTCTCGGGAACGATAGAAGAAAACATTCTGTTTGGTCAACCCTTCGAGGAGTCCAAGTATGAAAGAATAATCGACGTCTGCGCTCTGAAAGAAGACTTCCAGCGGTTACCTGATGGTGACCAAACAGTTGTTGGAGAACGCGGAGAGGTTCTGAGTGGAGGACAACAGGCGAGAGTAAGTTTAGCTCGTGCAGTTTATGCTGAAGGAGATATTTATCTATTGGATGATCCACTGAGTGCTGTCGATTTTAAAGTTGGCCAACACATCTTTAACAAGTGCATCAAAGATCTACTTGGCGATAAAATCGTTCTGTTTGCCTCTCATCAGCAACAGCACATGGAAAATGCTGATGAAGTGATTGTGTTGTACAAAGGGCGTGTCCTCGACAAGGGACGCTTTACTGAGCTGCACGAAAAAGGTGTTATCAATTCAACTGCTGACCCGCTCTATAAAGCAGCTCTGAAAGACAAAACGGACTCATCTGAGCCGTTCTGCTGGGAAGATAAGGAGGAACACGATGATGCTGAAAAATGCCAGAAAATACATCCTCTGCCCGATGAAGCGAAGAGTTTGGAGACAGAAAAGGAGGATCGTACAATCGGAGTTGTGACATTCAGGCTTTATTGGGACTATTTCAGAAGTGGAGCACATCCTTTGATGCTAACTGGAATGGTTGGTTTAAGTCTCATTACTCAAGGTAAACTTATTGTTAGGCTGAGTTACAAACCTTGGGTCAGGCTCTAATAGGGAATAGAGCAACCTTTTTTCTATATTTCTTTTCTTCTATTCTTTTTTTTATTTTTGTGCAAGTCATTTCACAATGGCTATGCTTTTAACCAAGAATAAACGTTCTTTTTAGATTAGCAGGTAGCGTTGAGAGACACTACGCAAACTTCTGACCATGTTCCCGATATCTCACTTGCTTGCACAAGCGCGAGTGAATGGCGAGTTACGCGCGAAAGGAAGAGCTGGTGTTTTTCTCCTCGTGTTTGCCTTACCATGCCTCCACGCGCATGAAAAGGTCAAAAAACCACTCGCTCTACAGACTAACTTTCTGAGACCAAAAGCAGTTTCTTAACAATATTTATGTGTAACATGGTTGACTTCTTTATTTATTCTGTGACGTTGTGGTGCTTGCATAAACATCCCCAAGACATTAACGGTAGTAGGTAATCCAGGCGAGTTGTGTCTAGGCTCAATAAATCTTACAATGTTCAACTGAGTGATTATAGAAAAGTAGTTTTCAACCACTGCATATTAATAGTGTTTCTTTCAGCCATTATAGTTGCTCCCGACTTGTGGCTTTCGTTTCTTGCAAGGCTAAACCCAGAGGATCAGAATAACAAGACTTATCTATCTGTCTTCGCCTGTCTGGTTGGCGTGTGTTTTATATTTACTATCGTTCGGGCTTATGGATTCTTCCATGTTTGTCTGAAGTGCGCCGAGCGTCTTCACGATAAAATGGTTGTGGCCATTTTACAAGCACCTGTCCTGTTCTTTGATTCAAATCCAGTGGGAAGAATCCTAAATCGCTTCTCCAATGATATTGGCTGCCTAGATGAGTTGTTACCCAAAACATTCCTGGCGGCAATGCAGATGCTCTTGGTGATATTTGCCCAAATTCTGGTAACAGTTGCCACAAATTTTTGGCTGATGTTTCTTGTTGTTCCAATTTCCATGTTGGTCGGTTTTCTATCCAATTATTACTTGAAGACTGCCAGAGAACTAAAGAGGTTAGAGTCGATAACCCGAAGCCCAGTGTTCGCTCATTTTTCGGAGACCCTGATAGGACTGGACACGATTCGTACGAGAGGAAGACAGACCGATTTTGTGGATGCACTCTACAGGTATGTTAGAGACATTGATTCAGTTTGTGGTGTCAGAGCCGATAAATGCACAGGGCAAAAATGACTTATAATCGCTCGTTTTCTGTGAGCTATTTTTTTTTAATTTGCCGGCAATACGCGAAATGGCATCACGTGTTTTTTGTAATCCTATCCGGTACGTGCTGAGACACTGGTCAGCAAGTGGACCTTTCGGTACGAGGCACGGTGGCGAAACGAAGCTATCCGAAAGAGGCACGAGGGGTATTACAAGTTGTGAGACTACAGTTATTGCTCTGTGCGGTTTCATCCTTCTGATAGGGTTTCAACAGTCGCATAATATAAACCGTCAATCAACAAGATTGCTTGACGTAGAAATTTCACAATTAGTCGAAACTATAACAAATGTATGGAACGTATAAGCGATCAGTGTTAGTTTCTTTCTCTAATTTTGCCACAGTTTTGATCAATTGGTAAGAGAACGTCATGTCGTACAATTCTGCCTTTTAATAATACTCGTGATTAAAAAAACCAGACTCCCGCCCCGCAGTCGTCCCCTTTTGTTAATCAATCGTATGATTACTGGCCGAATTGGACTCCACTCAGTCCTATTACCATTATCAGTTTAATTAACAGGAAATACAGACGAGTGCCACTCGTCTTCTACTTCTGATAAATGTTATACTTAGCATATAAGATGTAGTTGTGATATTTGACAATTAAGAACTGGTCTGTTTTTGGCGAATTTACCATTTTCCCATACCATATCGTTAAGAAACTCGGCTCTAGCGGCTCTCACTTCATCTGGACGAATGAAGCATACCTAAGAATGAGATGTGGTTACGGAAATGATCTTTCGGATACTTAGCAAGAAGCTTACGGATGTTCCTTGGAGAGTAAAATCTTTTTGAGGGGCTGGGGCGTCGGGCGGAATTTGTTGAAGGGCTCTGTTATATTGTCAGGCCAAAGGAGACACTAGTCTCACTTCAGTGTGCAGACCCGATGTAATCTCTTTGAGGTCTTTTTAGAGTGATTGTCGTAAGGAAAATATTATTTTATAATAACAAGCCAATCAAAACAAAAGAAAAGATC